CTTTCGTGCCACTCCTCATACTTGTTTGTTATTCCATCTGCATTTGTATCCACACCTTCAACTTCTTTTCTAAGACTGTGGTCGGGGAAGATATTGGGGTTGGGGAAGTGGGAGACCTGGTAAGGAACTATGGGTTGTTGCTGTGGGGTGGAGTTGAAATGTAGTGGGTGGGGGCATTGGATGTGGCATGGGTGTTTTGATTTAGAGTGTTAGGTTGCACTGGGGTTGACCTGGTTGGGAGGCTTCTATAGAAAGTTGTGAGGGAGGCTGTATTTGATCATCTTCCTGGGTCTGGGATCTCCTGTCTGTCTTCTCCATCCCCTCTCTTTCCTCCTTTCGCCTTTGTACCATCTCTCTCAGTTTCTTCCTTTCTTCTTGTGTTCTGTCGCGGTCGAGATACACCCTCCTGTATGCCGTCATGTCCCTTAATCGTGCTTTCTCCTGCAGGATCCTGGTCCGAGTCGCTTCTGCCTTGAAGGTCACTTTCACTGGCCGGGTTTTTTTTTTTTACAAACCCCCCTATTCTCCGAAAATTTTCCAGCTGGGTCATATCGTCTTCTCCTATTGCTTTCATGATGCTTTCAATTGCGTGTGTGTGTGTAATTACCTAATTGTAATTACCTAATTGTGGTTGCAGGGGTCGAGACTCAGCTCCTGGCCCCGCCTCTTCGCTGATCGCTACTAGGTCCTCTCCCTCTCTGCTTCCTGAGCTTTGTCATACCTCTTCTTAAAACTGTGTATGGTTCCTGCCTCCACTACTTCACTTGCTAGGCTATTCCACTTCCTGACGACTCTGGACTGTGTGTGTGTGTGTGTGTGTGTGTGTGTGTGTGTGTGTGTGTGTGTGTGTGTGTGTGTGTGTGTGTGTGTGTGTGTGTGTGTGGGGTGTGGGGTACTCGCCTTTTTGGGACTCCCCTTTATTTGTGGTTGCAGGGGTCGAGTCCTAGCTCCTGGCCCCGCCTCTTCACCGTTGCTACTAGGCCCCTCTCTCTCCCCGCTCCATGAGCTTTATAAAACCCTTTCTTTCTTAAAACTTTTGTATGGTTCCTGCCTCCACTACGTCATTTTCTAGGCTATTCCACTGCCTTACAACTCTATGACTGAAAAAATTACTTCCTACAAATCTCTCTGACTCATTTGTGTCTTCAACTTCCAATTGTGGCCTCTTGTTTCTGTGTCCCCCCCCTGGAACATCCTGTCCTTGTCCACCTTGTCTATTCCACGCAGTATTTTATATGTCGTTATCATGTCTCCCCTGACCCTCCTGTCCTCCAGTGTCGTCAGGCCGATTTCCCTTAATCTTTCTTCATAGGGAAATTCCCCCTTTGCTCTGGAACTAACCTTGTTGCAACCTTTGTACTTTCTCTAGTTTCTTGACGTGCTTTATCAAGTGCGGGTTCCAAACAGGTGCTGCATACTCCAGTAGGGCCTGACATACACGGTGTACAGTTTTCTTGAATGATTCCTTACTAAGGTATCGGAATGCTGTTCTCAGGTTTGCCAGGCGCCCATATGCTGCAGCAGTTTTCTGATTGATGTGTGCTTCCCGGAGACATGCTCGGTGTTATACTCACCCCAAGATCTTTCTCCTTGAGTGAGGCTTGCAGTCTTTGGCCACCTAGCCTATACTCTGTCTGTGGTCTTCTGTGCCCTTCCCTATCTTCATGACTTTGCATTTGGCAGGATTAAATTCGAGAAGCCATTTGCTGGACCAGGTGTCCAGTCTGTCCAGGTCTCTTTGAAGTCCTGCTGGTCCTCATCAGATTTAATTCTCCTCATTAACTTCACATCATCTGCAAACAGGGACACTTCTGATGTGAGTGTGAGTGTGTGTGAGTGTGTGAGTGGTGCAGTGTGATGTGTGTGGGGTGTGTGAGTGTGTGAGTGTGTGAGTGTGTATGTGTGAGTGTGTGAGTGTTGAGTGTGTGAGTGTGTGAGTGATGAGAGGTGTGAGTGTGTGAGTGAGTGAGTGTGAGGTGTGTGTGTGTGTTGTGTGTGTGTGTGTGTGTGTGTGTGTGTGTGTGTGTGTGTGTGTGTGTGTGTGTGTGTGTGTGTGTGTGTGTGTGTGTGTGTGTGTGTGTGTGTGTGTGTGTGTGTGTGTGTGTGTGTGTGTGTGTGTGTGTGTGTGTGTGTGTGTGTGTGTGTGGTGTGTGGTGTGTGTGTGTGTGTGTGTGTGTGTTGTAACTTTTTAACAGCTGATCCCAATTTTATTTTCCTCACCTACGTTTAGTTTACGAAATATAAAGTTACTATTTTATTTTTAGAAAGATTCAAGATATAATATATCGTATATTAGGATAATCACTCAATACCACTGGAATACACTAATAAAAAAATAAAAAAATAAAACAGAACTATTTTCCCCATTCAAACTTTGTATTGTGGAGGTAAAATATCCAGCAATAATCTGTCATCACACTTTCATTCCAGAAAATTGGTGGCAATTTTCTATTATTCTCGTACATTATCTCTTTCTTATAACCAAGCAATACCTAATTAGAATACAGTGGACCCTCGGTTATCGGCCATAATTCATTCCAGAAGTCAGCCTAAAACCGAAATGGCAGAAAACCGAAATAATAATTCGCATAAGAATTAATGTGAATACAATTCATTCATTCCAGACACCCAAAAATATTTACAAAAAAATATTTCTTTAAAGATTATAGTTCTGCATACACAAAACAATGAGAAATAAATAAAATAAAAACAATCAATTAAATCATTATTACATACCTTTATTGAAGACTTCTTGACTTATGGAAGATAGAGGAGGAGAGAGGGAGGATTATTGTTTGGAAGAGAAATCTCCCTTCATAATGAAGAAGTAACAAGTCCCTCTCTGGGGTTACTTCCATTCTTTGTTTTTTAATGCCACTAGGACCAGCTTGAGAGTCGCTGTTTCTGGCATCTCTAAGATTATCCTGAAGTGGGACAAGGTTTTGTCACTAAACAAGTTGCAGATATGGCTTGTTTCAGCATGGTCAGGGTGATACTTTTCAATAAAACTTTGCAACTCATACCACTTTGCACACAATCACTGAAGAAGGCACCTTCTCCCCTCTCCCCCCCCTCCTCTGAAGCAATTTCCTCAGCTGCAGCCTGTTGCTGCTCCAGTTGAAGGCCTTGCAGCTCTTCAGTTGTTAGCTCTTCCCTGTGGTCCACCACCAACTCTTCCACATCCTCGCCACTCACATCCAACCAAATGGACTTCCCCAGTGCCACAGATTGCACAACAGGTGTAGGGTCCTCAGGGTCAGCCCCAAACCCTTCAAAATCCCTCTCTTGGACACAATCTGGCCACAATTTTCTCCAAGCAGAGTTCAAAGTCGTTTAAGTCACTCCCTGCCAAGCCTTAACTATAACGGAGGATACTGAAGTGATTCCTCCAGAACTCTTAGGGTCAAGTCGCAGTCCGAGGTCACTTCAAAGCACCTTTGAAACACTGCTTTTGTGTTGAGTTTTTTGAAGTTAGAAATGACCTGATGGTCCATGGGCTGGATGAGTGTAGTGGTGATAGGAGGCAAGAGCTTCCATTTTAAAATGGAAGTCCCTAAACAATTGGTCTTCCAAATCTGGAGGATGAGCAGGAGCATTGTCCAGTACCAGGAGGCACTAGTGGGGCAATTTCTTTTCCAGGAGGTATTTTTTCACACTGGGGCCACATCAGCTTCCTTGATTTGTTCTTTCTTTGCCAGGATAGAACCGATTGTTGATTTGTTTTTCTCATACATCCTGGCAAGTTCTAGCACTCGAAAACCACTCTCAAACTTTTCAACAACTTTTCTTAAATTTCATCATGTTTCTCACTTTCTTTACCAAAGGAACTTTCTTTAGGGCCATGGTTACTTATTTCAGTTGCTAACAACAAAAAAAAACAATTGATTGCAGCCAAATGTTTGGACGAATGAGCAGAAGCTTCCTCACTTGCCCATAGACAAAGCCAGACTGACGCACTAGCGGCTGGCGGCGGCGGGTTGATGCATACCATACAGCCGATATGCAAAATAACAGCCGATAACCGGATTCTGAAAAACTGGCCGATAAGCAGAAAGGCCAATAAGCTAGGGTCCACTGTACTAAGGAGCTGCTCCCGTATGTATGGTAATTAGGTAGTCCTGCTGGATAATTAGGGCAATACTTGTTTGTAAAGAAGGTATCCCAACTAATCGCTATTTTTATACTGCAGATAACACTTTACACACAAATATGGTAAAGGAATACTGGCTGTATTTAACGAACATTTAATAGTAGTATGGTGCATCTAACCTAGATGTGGATTAGAATTGAACAATGCTAATCTGTGACAAACGTTTAGTCACCATGGTTATTAAGCTATGAAAGACTCCAGTGTATTTCTAATGTATTCTCACAATTGTACTCTCAAAAGTTCCCACCTGCTAATATCATGCTCTTGCTTACGAGAGAAGCACGGTATGAAAACAATCAATTATATATTAATGGTCGATATGATACTTTTCTGATATCTTGGTTCAAAGTTCAATTGTAATGCTTGCCTAATATACTTCCACTAGCGGGCTCTGCCCACTTGTGATGCCATTTCTAGAGAGCTTTGCCTCTCCCGTCTCTGGTATACCAGTCTCCATCCTTGGCCATTTTTCGATTCCTCAAGACTGAGTGACTTATCACTTAAAGCTACTAGTATTCCACTGTATTAGTCTGTAGTGGGTAAAGTCACTGACTGGAGAAAAGTATACACAAAGGTACACAAGAGTTGCACATGCATCTTAATACAATTTTATTTAAAACTGAAATAATGTATATTCATTATATGGAGTATCATTGAGCCAATGTCACGCTAAAGGATTGGCTGTGCATGACTCCCTTACTGATGACCAGAATATGGTGAGCTTATAATAGGCTAGTAGTAATAATATTAACCACTCTTCCTAAATAGATTAAGTAAACAATTTAGATGGATATGGGTTTGAGAGAATTTCTGGCCTACAGGGACTTAAAGGAAGCTTAAAGTAACTTACAACAAAAGCATGCAAAGCAACCACGATGACAGAGGCTTTGCGAAAGCCCATTGTGTCGACTAGAAATCCTGAGACAGTTCTTGACAAGAACCTGCCAACACCAGAGAGTGACGCCCACAGTCCTGCCACAAAGCCATGAGTCCCAGCAACGTCTGGGAACCCAGCACCTCTAAAATGAAGATAACAAATGCTGTGAAATGACTGCCTGATATGTGGTGAAATGCTTTACTATACAATTATGCATAATATTTTGAGTTTACTCAAAATATTATGCATGCTGCGAGGTCACAAAAATTGTATAATTTTAGGACTTTAAAAATTATATTTTTTACAACTGTAAACCTTAAAAATCTAAATACATTTGCTCTCAAACTAAAGGAGAAAAGTTGGAATACCATATTTTGGCCTCTGTTTCGAGGCCTCAGCCTCTTCGGCAAACTGTAAAAATAACGAAGCTTATTTAGAGAGGCAGACAATACGAACACAGTCTGATGCATTAACAAGCGACAGGTTAAGTAACCTTCACACAAACTTCATCCTTTGTACGTGTCAGTTTACTGAAGAGGACCTAAATGAGGCCGAAATACATAGTACTTTTCTTGTATATTTTGTCTCCCTGAGGGTTAGTTTGTACCAGTGTTTAATACACCGGTGTTCATAATTACTGCAACACTCAAAAATGTACACTTGACTAACACAACTTCCCGCATGGCGTCCACAACACCAGCCACCTGTTGACCACCTATCCCAATGCCGTTCAAAATAAGCGCCAAGATCACCACACTCAAGGTCCTGTAGTCAAAGAAAAATGATATTTAATTCCTTGACAATACTACAATTAAAATATCAACTATAAACATGCAATTGCATGTTTTACATAATTTCCTAAATGTAGAACATATAAATGAATATAATAATTGCGTATTAAAATGTGACGCTATTTGGACCCTTTGAGAAATTTCGAGTGAGGGGGGGGGGATGCAGAACAGTCAAAGAAGTGATGCCGCAGAGACGCCATCTTAAATTTAATGTATGAACACTCGTTGTCTTAAGAATTTCTGCTAATATTCCGGCATCTTCTGAGCCAAATTAGGAGGTTTTGGCCTGAATTTGTAGTTAGGAACCTGTGTTAAATGTCCCCTGCTGAAGAACTGGGACAGGAAATTTGCAGGACCTCGTGAATTACATATTGTATGGCAGAAGATAATGGATACGAACATCACTCGCGGGGAGTGCACCATTAGTCCTTGCATTTAGATATTTAACTGGCCAGTGTAGGATCTAGGTGTTAGGCAGGCATTGTGGTGTGATCCATCTACAGTAATTAAATGGTAAGTGGCAATATGAATTTCTTTTGTGTACCCAGCAAGCCTAATCACATACAGTTCACATTTTATAATTACCATTATTGGTATTAATGTTTAATATTGTAATTATTAATTTAGTGTCAGGTCTAGCTTTTTGTGAGTGATGAAGTGGGCATCGAGGGATTGTGACAGGTCCCACTTATCTCCCCAAAATTACTTTCCTGAAATAATCCAGATAATACCCTGTAAACTCCTAGCAGGTAATTTGCTCACATAATACTGCACAATAGCAATTGTTATGTGGCAGTTCATATGCTGGAATTTGGTAATATCTCTCACTTCAAACGGATGGTAACTTCTTATTGTGGGTACCAGGGAGGAACTGCCAAGCCCGACCTGCCGTCTATGCTACCCTGCTCTCAAGTAACCACTGTCGTGCCCGGAGGCAAGAGATATTCAAATATGCTTGGTCAGCAGAATGACTCAATAACGGCCAGTGATCACGTAAAGGGAGGCGGTGAATCAGTAACAGTTGGTACGAGTCATTGACACTACTGGTAACTGATACTGAGAATTATAAAAATTGTAAATATGCTAAATCATGAGTTTTGCAAGCAGATATGAATATTCTTAAAACATGGTTCCCACAAACTTTAGACCTAATGGAAATTCCTGATCTCACTCCAATTTAATAACGTAAATTTAGATGCATGAATACTGACAATTCGAGCATGACACTGAAAAATGTAAACTGCAGGCAACATTAAGATAAGATTTCGTTCGGATTTTTAACCCCGGAGGGTTAGCCACCCAGGATAACCCAAGAAAGTCAGTGCGTCATCGAGGACTGTCTAACTTATTTCCATTGGGGTCCTTAATCTTGTCCCCCAGGATGCGACCCACACCAGTCGACTAACACCCAGGTACCTATTTGCTGCTAGGTGAACAGGACAACAGGTGTAAGGAAACGTGTCGAAATGTTTCCACCCGCCGGGAATCGAACCCGGGCCCTCCGTGTGTGAAGCGGGAGCTTTAGCCACCAGGCCACCGGGCCACTAAGCAGCCAAGCATGGAACAAATAACACACAGAACCCTGAGTATTAATATTACAATCAAAACTTAACGCTAAACCCACAATGTGACGTCGTACAGCACTGCACATGGTTGATTATTATTATTATTATAATCAAAAAGAAGCGCTAAGCCACAAGGGCTTGCACATGGTTGAGGGTTTATATAGCTCAACCGGAAACCAAGTACAGTACATGACCCACTAGACGCATATTAAAGACACGATAGAATTCTTTTTCCCTCTGGAATAACTCCTCCCATCAAGGTAGTATGTAGAATCTCTTGCTTTTCAAACACATTTGTTAAAAAATTCTGAGCAACCATTTTTCGAAGAATCTCAAATGCCAGCTTACCTATGATAAAAAAACCCAGGGCCCTTTACATGTAGTATCATGAAATATGATAAAAAAAATGATCCCTTTGGCATAATAATACAATCAGAACTTGTAAGCAGTAGGTTGGTAAACAACCACCTTGGGATGTACTACCGTCCTGCCAAGTGAAAAACCTGTAATTATTTGACATGATTGTAGGCTTACTGGTGTCCTTCTGTCTCAAACACGCGGGATAAAGATATCTTACTGCTTCTACCTAAACTTAGGTCACACTACACATGCATATACATACCCATCTGGGTTTTTTATTTTCTTAATTCTTGTTATTTATTTCCTATCTCCATGGGGGACGTGGAACAGAATTCTTCCTCCGTAAGCCACGAGTGTCGTAAGAAGAGACTAAAATGCTGAGAGCAAGGGGCTAGTAACTTGCTGTATGAATTACTAAATCTAAATAGAAAAACTTTAGTTTTTCTTTTTAGGTCACCTTGCCTCGGTGGTATACGGCGACTGTTAAACAAAAACTAAGCACTAACCCTATCCAGTCTCCCTCACAAAAATATTGTTCAACTCTCAACATGGAGCAAGAGTTATGATTTACAGAGCACAGGTTCAGTGTTTTAATACTTAAGAAAATTGCCGACAATTTACTGTCATTATCAATATTCGGTTGTGTTAAAATTTCTACTCTGAATAACAATGTTATGTAGATACCAGCAGAGTTCTAGCTAATGTGCGACTATCAGTACTTCTGTAATGTCTATAAATTAAAAGTTTTTAATCCACGGACTGGTTTTGTAACATGTGTATATTTATTTATAGTATAACAATTCGAGTTGTGGATTGTCAAGGTATATTTAGCTTTCATTTTCATGAGATTTAATGCATCTCATGTTAAGAGATTAGATACCATGCACAAAATTCATAAAAACAATTTTAAGTGGTTTAAAAACCAATACATTTTATTATATAAATATCATTTAAAAGAGGAAAAGAAGAGTAATAAATTAGTTTATTTTAACTGATGCTGTTGTGTTTTCCTGGGAGTGTGTACGTTGTCTGGCTCGTTCTCTTGCTGGTTGAGGATATCAGAACACCACCGCTGATGCTAAGAGTATTATAGGGTTTCTGAGTGGTAGGTGGTGTGTATATTGTAGTGCCACTAAAGTCACTTCCCAGATTTTATGATGTTGAAACATTGTAAGAAGCGGCTATGGAAGAATTTTATATTTAGAAAACCTAGGGTGTTTAGGTAGGGTAATCATTGTCTTAAGCTGAATTTTGTAAGGACGGGTGGGGCAACGAACTATGGATTTCCTAGGGGTACTGTAGTGTCTTGTGCCATGAAAAGTAACACCGTTTACCCCATTTGTTTGAATATTTTAAATAAAATGTGGGTTTCTAAACAGCAATGTTTCTGTGAAGCTCTTGTGGTTGGAGTGGTATATTTTGGTAAGAAATGTGTGAAGTCATTTTACAACCTAGACTAGCAGTTATTTGCTGAATGATCACCGTGAGTGAGTTATGCACTATTACTTAAGATCTCATTTCTACGAAATAAGTATACATAATGCAACAGTAAATGTAAAATTATTATAACCAAAAAGAAGCGCTAAAAACACTAGCGTCATACAGCGCAGAAAATGTAAAAGACCAGCAATAGATGGACCAGAGTTCAGAAATGGGAGGTTACAACCCCCTCACACTAATAGGTCTGAAGCCAAGGTAGGTTAAGAAAGTTAATAAAGACCAATGTGCAGCTATGGTGACTGATATACTGTCAGAAATGTACCTACAAGATTAAGAAATTTATTAGTCCCCCTCCCCCCCTACCCCCGAAAAAAAAAAAAAAAAAAAAAAAAAAAAAAGCTTGCTGGGCTCTTTAGACAATAACAGTCAAATATTGCCACAACAGTACAGTAACCAAACGTTAAGTGTTCACTGTGCCAGTTGAGATACTATAATTTGTATGACGTTTCAGGGAGACCTAATGGTCACTTCCCCCACGGCAGTGTTATCAGGGAAGAAGAATGTATGGTCAGCAGTGTCAGACTGATACTAAGTTTAGGGGCATTTCTGTGGATGAGCAAAATATAAAATTTAGACCTTTTGCTAATTAGTACACCAGTAGGTTCAAGTAGTAAACTAGTGCTAGTCAGCATACTTCACCTGTGTAGAGGTATTCCAGGGAAAGGTCCCAGCAGGAAGAAGGACATTAAGGCCAGGCAGGACGACACCAAAATGAAGATCTTGACACGCCAGTAACGGTCACAAACATAGCCCCAGAAAGGTGATGCCAAGCTGTTGGCACCATCCTTAAGGCCAAATAACAAGCCCACATACAGTGGACTTAAGCCATACTGTTGAGAAGAGATATAATTAAAATCTTCACATTTGGAACCGCACAAGTTTCGTACAAGGGCGCCTTCAAATTCTTAAAATTTTAGCAAACTTTTCATGAAGTAGCACTTGCAATATTAACATTTAATAAAATTCACCCTGACTGGCATACAGGAGAGAGACTTTCCGCGATATATATAGCTAAAGTAAACAATTAAAACAACATTTAAGCCTACTAAAATCGTCCAGTTTCATTTCACAGCACCTCCGCAATGCCATCACTTAACAGTCATTATAAACGTCTGTTTATCCCGTATTAATCTTTTACAGAAAATTATAGCAAATACTAGTAGGCAGTTCGACATTATTTCACATATCAGGCTAACCTTCCTGAGGACTTGGGGTTCCAAGGTGATAGACAGGAAGCCATTACTCATAGTCGAGAAGATGAAAGTGATGAACGAGACATATATGCCTCCGATGGTGAAGATTTTCCAAATCTTCACCTCTTCACTCTTTTCTGATTTTTTATCTTCATCTAGGAAAAAAAAAATTATATTCATGAAACGTGATGAATCATAAGGTTTATTCTTAAACAGAGGTGGCTAAGGTTATTGAGGAGCAGAAAAAGCCGCCTTGTTCATCTGAACAAGGCGGCTTTATGAAGAGTAGGGGAAATGTAGACAAAGTGTTAACACTCAATACAAGTGAACAGTATTTAGATCAGGAAGAAAGTTGTTGTCGTGTTTATAGATTTCAAAAAAAGGCATATGATAGGGTGGACAGGGGAGCCACGTGGCACATGTTGCACGTGTATGGAATTACCTGGAGTGTTTCAGGGGTCAACGCCCCCGCTGGCCCGGTCTGTGACCAGGCCTCATGGTGGATCAGGGCCTGATCAACCAGGCTGTTACTGCTGGCCGCACGCAACCCGGCGTACGAACCACAGCTCGCTGGTCAGGTACTGACCTAAGGTGCCTGTCCAGTGTCTTCTTGAAGACAGCCAGGGGTCGATTGGTAATCCCCTTATGTATGCTGGGAGGCAGTTGAACAGTCTTGGACCCCTGACAATTACTGTGTTGTCTCTTATCGTGGTAGTGTCTCCCCTGTTTTTCATTGGAGGGATGTTGCAAAAGATCGGCAGTCGATGTAAGTTCCTAAAAGCAGTTAAGAGTTTTTGCGAGGATAATGAGGGTCAAGTTAGGTTAAGTAGGAGAGAGGGGGAGATTATTTTCCAGTAAAAAATAGGCCTTAGACAGGGATGTGCGATGTCACCATGGTGGTTTAATATTTATAGATGGGGGATGTAAGAAGTGAATGCAGGGGTTTTGGGGAAGGTGTGGGATGGTAAGATAAAGAATTACAGTGGGAGTTGTCAGTTTCTGATGACTGTGCTTCTGGGAGATTCTGAAGAGAGGTTACAAGTTGGGACTAATTTGGGAGGGGTATGTAAAAGATGGAGCTAAAAAACGAACACTGGACAGAACAAGGTGATGAGGGTAACAAAAAAAGGTAGGTTATGAAAGATTGGATATCAAACTGGAGGGAGTATGGACGAAGTGAATGTGTTCAGATATTTAATAGTGGACTTTATGAAAGACGAGGTGAACTATAGAATCAAGTTTTATTCTCTATAAAGATTACAATGTGGAGGGTTTACATATTATATAAAACCAATTACAGAAATGGCCACTATCACACCTAGCATGACTAGGCATTTCGGGCAGACTAAGATTAATTCAGAACTATATTGATACAGATTATGGAGCATATTGGTATTAAGGCTAAGTAACCATTACAGTTCGTAAATTTAGCAATGTGAATGGTTTTGTTTTGATACAACAGTTTCTATTGAAGCTCCTTTATTGGAATATCACAGGCAAACTTATGGCTCGTTAAGATTCATTAGGTAATAATAGTATTACATATTTTTATGTTTACAGCCAATTGGGCGGGTGTAGGTGTGAACTGTGGGTTATCACAGATATCGAGGGGAGGTCTAGGTTGTTTTTTTTGTGTGTATGATACAAGAGAATAGGCGGTTTTCATGTAGTTAGCTGACGGTGGGGTGTGTCAGGGAGTTTTCTAACGGTAGTTTGGAAATTGATGAATGTGTCTGCACTTCTAGAGCTTTCAGGTAGGGTGTTCCAGATTTTAGGCCATTTTATATACATTGAATTTTTGTATAGGTTTAGCCGGACACAGGGAATGTCAGATGTTTGCGTCTGGTGTTATGCCTGTGGGTTCTGTCACAACTATCAAGAAAGTGTTTTAGGTCAGGATTAATACTGAAATACAAGGTCCTGTAAATGTAGGTTGCATAGTAGCGAGTGTGGATGTTCTGAACAGTAAGTTTAGATCTATGAAGAGTGCGGGGGGGGGGGGGGGGGTTGCTTGGGATTTGATTGCGTGATTATTCTTACTGCGGCTTTTTGTTGGGTTATTGGCTTCAGGCATGTTGCTGCAGTTGATCCCCAAGCACAAATAGCACAGGTGAAGTAGGGATAAATGAATGAATGGTATAGTATGAAAAGGGCAGATTGTGGCACGTAGTAACTTATCTTGGAGAGGATCCCAACCGTTTTAGATACTTTTTTTTGTCGTGTGTTGGATATGGGTGCTGAAATTCAGGTTGCTGTCGAGGTGCAGGCCTAGGAATTTGCCCTCATTATGTCTAGCAATAAGAATTGTCGATCTTAATGTTAAGCTGTGCAACACCTGCTCTTCTGCTAAACAATCTAGAAGGTTTCGTCAATGTTAAGCCTAAGTTTATTGGCTGTCATCCAAGTAGTTTTTTTGAGCAACTCCTTATTAATAATAAAATGGTGTTGAGGGTGGCAGGATTTGGGTGGGAGATGACGTAAGTAATGTCGTAAGTAGGCCAGTCAACCGTCTCTAGCTCTGCTGTGAAATTACTTATCAAGGCCTCGTCATGGAGTCTAAATGAAACTTTGCTGTATTCCAGTTGTGGGTTACTAATGTTTGTTAAGAGGAAGGTGGGGTAGTGGTCAGTAGTGCTGTCTGACTATCCCTGACCTAAGTGGGGCTAGTATATGTTATATATGGTCAATTACGGTTGCACTTGTCTCAGTCAGTCTGGTTGGTTTAGTTATTGTTGGTATGAGAAGCGTGTTGTTCATATTGATGAAATCAGTTACAGATGATCATCTGGTAGGCTAAGGTTGATATTGAAGTCTCCAGGTAAGAGGTGTCTGTTATTAATTTCTTTAATTTCTCACTGAAATTTGGGAAGTTTGTGTGGGGCATTTGGTAAATGGCATCAACTGTTACAGGAGTTAAGGTTTATTTTTACAGTAAAATTAGCGAAAACATTCTCCATTATTCATCATTATTGCAAGTGGTGCTAATACAAGATAGTTGGTTAATTATTATTATAGTAAAAAAGAAGCACTAAGCCACAAGGGCTGTACAGCGCTGCAGGGTAGGGAAGGAAGCGAGGGTATTGGGCGGCAGAAGGGTGGAGGGATGATCAGTAGTTACAGAAAGCAGCGGGGCAGGGGATAGTACGAGGGTAGAGGGTAGCAAGAGATTGAGGTAGAAAGGGCTGAAGGTATCAGAGTTTGTGAAGTCAGTCAGTTCTTGTCAAAAAGTCAATGAGAGAGTCCGGATGAAAGGTGGGTCCATCAGCGAGAAGGGAAGGTAGAGAGAGAGCAGCGGAGCGAAGACGAAGTTGGAGGTAAATTCTGCGTGCTCATTGATAAAGTGGGCAGTCTAACAAAATGTGGCTGACTGATGATAGAACCTGACAATTCTCACAGAGGAGCAGGGCGCCTCACCATGAGATATCCATGAGTAAGACGAGTATGGCCAATACGAAGACGGGAGAGAGTAGTCTCCCAACCTCGACACAGGTGACAAGAAGATGGCCAGTAACCTATACTCGGTTTAATCGATTGAAGTTTGTTACCGAGCATAGCAGACCAACGTTGTTGCCAACGGGTGTGAAGGTGGGTAGCTATTGCAGCAAAATAGTCCATAAATGGAATACCTCTATATGAAACTGGTAGATCATGTACTGCTGACCGCGCAGCAGTGTCTGCCTGTTCATTGCCCTGTACGTCAACATGACCAGGGACCCAACAAAAAACAATATCTTTATGCTTGGTAAAGATGCGGCGTAGCCAAAGTTGGATACGGAGGACTAAGGGGTGAGGTGTATCAAATTTCTGTATAGCCTGTAAAGCACTAAGGGAGTCTGAGACAACCACAAATGATGATACAGGCATAGATGCAATATGGATAAGTGCTGCAAGAATGGCATACAATTCAGCAGTAAAAATACTAGCCGAAGAGAGTAAATGTCCTCGTACGACGCTATCCAGAAACACTGCTGCGAATCCTATGCTGTCAGAAGACTTAGAGCCATCTGTGTGCACTGCAATGGCATGAGAATGAGTGTGGAAGTGGTCAAGAAAAAGAGCGGGAAGCGACTGTAGACAGTTGGGCTTTCAAGCAAGGGAGAGAGAAAGAACAGACTCGAACAGCTGGAACTTCCCAGGGGGGTAGGGAAAAGTGAGATGCTACATGAACATAGAAAGGTGGTAATTGAAGAGAAGACAAGAGCGAATGTAGGTGAAGAGAGAAGGGACGGAGTAAACAGGGGCAGCGAACAAATAAAGAATGTCTACTAATATCAGTGACCATTCTATAAATGGAAGGATTGCGGAGATCACGAGAGTATACATAGTAGCGAAGGCAATGGGCATCACGGCGATCGGATAAGGATGGAACGTTTGCTTCTGCATAGAGGCTCTCAACAGGGGAAGAGCGAAAAGCACCAAGGCATAAACGTAATCCTTGGTGATGAATGGGGTTAAGGCTAGAGAGATTAGCAGGAGAGGCCGCTGAATAGATCTGGTCACCATAATCAAGTTTTGATAAAATGAGGGTGGAATGTAGGCGAAGGAGAGTTCGACGATCAGCTCCCCATGAAAGATGAGCAAGGATTTTAAGAAGGTTCAGCCGGCTGTGACAAGTTGCCTTCGAGGAGGTAATGTGAGGTTCCAGGATAACGCAGGTAAAGAGGAGGTCAGAAACCTGACTATCACGTTCAGGGTATTAGGGAGTCCTAGGGTACAAAGGTTGATCGGGATGAAGGATAAGAACATAATGAACATAAGAAGGAGGAACACGCGCGAGGCTGCTGGCCAACAGGCAGGCCTTTACAATCATCCCACTAACAAAACTTTGGCCCAACCGAATTTTCAATGCCACCCAAAGAAATTTGAACTCTGATTGTGAAAGTCCCACTCAAATCAACCCTCCCACTCATGTACTTATCCAACCTACATTTGAAACTACCCAAAGTCCCAGCCTCAATAAACCCAACTAGGTTAGATGTTTCCACTCATCAACTACCCTATTTCCAAACCAATAGTTTTGGTACTGGAAAATTTAAACCCATGTGTGGTGGCCCAATTGGAAACACGGTCGACCGCATGTTGGAGAGAAATTGTAATGAGGTGACAGTCTGCACCTGCACAGGCAATAGCAAAGTCATCAACAGAGTGATGACCA